AATTAGTTAACTTTCAGCCACACAAGCCTCTTATTTCAGAATGTTCACTTTGTCTGGTTTTGTTGCAGTCTGCCCCATATGTTAATATCAATATGACAGGATGGCGAAATAAAATCGTGCCATATTTGCTGTTAGTTGTCTTTGCCGGATAGATCCTTGTGAGAACAGTTATTACAAAGTAAACACTGAGACCAATTTGCCTTGAAACTAGTAAAGTTTGATGCTGAATAGAGTGCAAAGATTGCGTCTAATTCGCTATTTCCATCTGATTGGATGATCACAGGTCACGTTGTAACCAAAAATTTTAAAAGTTTTACGCATGCTCTACTATTAGCACCTTTATGATAAAATGGTTCGAAAGAGTAAGTAATTAAAACAATGATGACATTACAAGCCAAGGGAATTAAGAATAACGAACTTACACTGGTCTTGTCATTGACAGAAGCACAGAGTAAACGATTATCAGCTGCCAAACGATATAAGATACTAAAGAAAGTGGCCGAGCATAAAAGAAAGGAGAGGAAGGAGGCTAAAAGGAATCCAAATCGTAAAAGTAAGAATTTGCTATTTAATTCTAGTGATTACGAGGAAAGACATGTGTATATGGTAGATAACATAACTTGACCTTACGTACGTTCTCCGCGAATTGTGTACATATGCGCGGCTGGTAAATTAGGTTTAAAGAAAGATCCGGGAATACCAAATTTATATCCGTATAAGGATAAAATTCTTCATCAACTAGAAGAACAGAAACGAAAGGTACATACATAAAAGAGCAAATGTTATTGAGGACTGTATTCGGAAGGTTCATGGTAAAAGTTTTGCTCACATACTATTTTCGTTCCTTAACCCTGTATACTTAGCTAGAAGAAGAAAAAACCCGACAGCGTCAAGCCCGTATTGCATTGCATAATAAAAAGCGCAACCTCAATCTCACCGATCTTGTCGAAGATGCCACGACGCGTAATAAATTCTTCGATGATGATAAGCCTTCAGATGCTAATGATTCGGTGACTGCAGTTGATCCTGCTGCTGCTGGATTAAAAGACAATTCTCGCAAAGCATTCTACGGTGAATTCAAAAAAGTAATAAAAAACGCGGACGTCATACTAGAAGTCCTTGATGCGCGAGATCCATTGGGATGTAGATCGACAGAGCTCGAGAGAATGGTAATTGACAGTGGAATAAACAAACGCCTCATTCTAGTATTGAACAAAGTAGACCTGGTTCCGAAAGAAATAGTCTCCAAGTGGTTAACATATCTGCGCAATGAATACCCGGCGATCGCGTTCAAATCTTCAACTCAATCACAACGTACCCATCTTGGCCAGTCGTCCACTCCAATAAATCTTGCGTCCGAGTCCAGCCTCCATACGTCCGAATGCTTTGGGGCCTCTACTCTTCTTAAACTTCTCAAAAACTACTCTCGCAACCTCAATATGAAAACTTCAATTACTGTTGGTGTTATCGGATATCCAAACGTAGGAAAGTCGTCTTTGATAAATTCGCTGAAGAGGGCGAAAGTTTGCGCAGTCGGGGCGACACCAGGGTCGACAAAAACTTCTCAGGAAGTGCAGTTGGATTCTAAGATTAAATTGTTAGATTGTCCAGGTATTTTGTGGGGAGAGAATGACGCCGAAATGTCCTTAAGGAATTGTATTAAAACCGAGTTGTTAGAAGATCCCGTAGCACCAGGTAGGTCAAGATGAAAGAGCGCTACGAAGTATTGTGACATGAATATTGGTACTCAAAATAATTTGTTTTCATTCCTAGTCGAATTAATAGTCTCTCGCTGCCCACAGCAATTACTAGTAAAAAGATACAACATTCCACCATTCCGAGACGCCAACGATTTTCTTATTCAAGTCGCTCGTCAACGCGGGCGTCTAAAGCGTGGTGGCATTCCCGATATAGTCTCTGCTGCTCGTTCAGTTCTACAGGATTGGAACACTGGACAAATATCATTTTATACCACCCCGCCTACACAATCATCTTCTGCGGGAGAAGTGACCTTGGTGGATCAATGGGGAGAGGAATTTGATTTGGATAATTTGGCTCCAGAGGATGTTGATATGTTGGAGTAGTATGATGAGACCATAATACGTCATCCATTATAATTTACATGCAATGTTGTTGAATAAATGCATTTTTTTTGCAAGACGTACCAGTTACCAGTTTTTCCATGAACTGTATCCAACACACAATGAAAACGCGTGCTTGTCGTTCTTATTATTATGTCAGCATCTAATTTTCAATGTTTTATTAATTAATATTATTATTAAGATATGCCTGATCATTGAAACCACTTGTATGGTATGCAGTGGAATGTTTCAATATTAATATTGAGGTATTCAGTATATCTTTATTCTAACCATTTAGTCATCAGAATATTGATGGTTTATAACTTTACCTTTAGCTTTCGGGCTATTATTATTCATATTGTATTAATTTGTTAAAATTAACAGATTCATGTCGATACGAGACATTCATACATATTCTTTTCACTCCGCGACATAATAGTGTATAAATATTACGTTCACGTGAAATATGCTGGGGAGTGAAAGGTGAACCCTGAAAAGTGAACCCTGAAATCTTTGTTTTACAACAAATCAAGCGCGCGCCCAAAAATTCTCATCTATGCGTAATAAGCTTCATACTTGTATCAATGTCCAAAAGAAAACTTAGTCAGAAATATATTGCAGACAGCGATGTAGATGAAGAGGAACAGGTCAGAAGAGTTTCTCCTTGGTGTATATGCAACTGAAGATAGCAATGTTCGTACAATCGGACCCGTTTTGTTAACGTACCTGCTGTTTACGCTATAGCAGCTAGCGGATGATCCCGAGGAGTCGTCTTTGGTAAGAATAGAAAAGAAATAACGTGGCAAGAACATCATTAAACGGTTTTCTCAAACGGTCGATTACGGTTATGTAGAAAAAGAAAAAGTCGAGTAAAAGTACTGGGTCGAAAACGAAGAAAAGGGCTATCGATAACGAAGACGATGATCAAGACGAGACAGCCGACGGACAAGCTTTCTTCAAAGTATGTGTGATTTGTGTAGTACTCTAATTGGATACTTAGATCAAACAAATTGAAGATTAAACGGTCAACCCTATCTTTGTCTCCCGGATTGACTGACCGCCTATTCATCACTAGCTTTCAGAAAGAAAACGAGCCAGCGTTCGTAAATGGAAGGATATAGCAATGGTTGATATTAGGGAATTTTATGATGGGAAACCCACAAGAAAAGGTATGGTGCGTGAGGGATTAAAGTGCAAATCAATTTTGCCTAGAACTTTTGTCCTGTTTACTGATGACAAATACGCTTGCATGCTCGTTAATTTGGAGCGACTATCTTTTATCTAATTGTCATCTGTTCGTACAATTTATTTTTTATCGGCCCAATACTAGGCATCTCTTTAACAATGGATCAATGGAAGAAGCTCAAATCATTTATCGATGACATCGACAATGAACTCAAGAAACTGTAAACTCATAGACTATATCTATATGAACGATATATAGTATTTTATTAACTTCCATAATCCGTTAATTCATAATTTGACTGAACGCCCATATGTGATGGCGCGCTGATTATTAGCATTGCAACAATCATGGCTATATTGCAAGATATAAGACATTTTCTTGTAACATCATTGCGTTATCGGGAAGTTCTTGGGAGTTACCTCACCTTTTTTGAAGGGATGCAATTCTTTTTGATTTCTCGTCAGCAAGTAATAAAGAACACAATAATATTCCAGCGATTTAGTCGGTTTCATTTGGACTGCCTGGGATAGAATGCTTTCGCACGTAGTTAAAAAAAACGTTGAAGGCATCAAATTTCGGACTTCTTCATGATCGATAGCCTACAACAAGCATACAGTTGACTGGACTTTGATCTCGTCCTTTTTGCGATTACCCACAGAGCATCGAACTGCTCCGCAAAAACGATATCGTAGATAACGATTCCCCGGGTAGTTCCTCTGGACGAGCATGATGGCAGAAAGGGATATGATGCAAAACAGAGCTGCCTCTATCAAATCGTAAGCATAATTTAAAGCGTATTTTACTAACGGTCGAATACACGGTAGAAGGATGTCACCAAATTCAATAAATTCCGTTCTAACACTTTGAGAAGTAGTAGTCAACTTGATTTTCCATTGCATTGCATCAAACATGTAGAGAAAAGATGTTGACATGCAAGCTTCCAATTACAATTTCTTGTTACGTAGGCAGTGCAGAAAGATTCAATTCAGAAGAAATGCTGTTGTTTTAGCAGTATTAATCCGTTGTACTCATTTACAATGAACTGACCTTGTTGACGACTTGGCGCTGTAATCTTACAAGTATACACGTCATCTTTCACCATCATGCGTTCCAAATTCTAGCCACGTAACATTCACTTTGCTCTTTCGCGTCCCGCGCGTTATTTTGATGTGCGAGTCGAACACGACAAAATAATAAACATAGCTTGTTTGCACGACGCGTTTTGTACTAAAATTGGTAGAGATATGCAGGCACAAATTATTATAAAAACGGCATCGATCAGAGTGAGCTATATGGCATTTTATAAAAATTCTTGTTGCAAAACGATATGATATTACGATAATAATAAACCAAATTTATTTAATTTCCTATATGATACGTAATGAACGCGAAAACCGCTTGTACAACGGAATTCTACCACCTGCGATATATGTTTTTCAGTTTGAATTAACTACTCTACAGAGCCTTGAAAATTGAAGAGTAGGTAAGAGTGTATTACTGTTGAAGATAATATTATTTAATATCGATATGATGAATTTCGATCGTGACGATGGTATAATCATGTCGTCCGATAGAGGCCAAATGTTACCACGCTAAGCGGGTCGATGACCAAACAATATTGGCTTCATCATTATGCTATCAACCACGATATCGGCCGGGTGTGCCCAACCTGATCTATATAATTTAATATATATTTACTTATTTTTGCATTCGAAACCAAACTAATATCACCTTTTTACATCCCAAGATTCAGTTAACCTGGCCTGGTTATAGCGAAGTCGGACACTAGAATTTGTTAAAGTATACTTCTTCATCTCAAGGTTTTGATAACGAATAAGCGCTTTAATATCTGTATTGAGTTAATATTAAACAAATAAACGAATTTATCGCAACTAGTAATAAGATTATGATGCATGCTCGTTTGGGAAGAAAGTGGGTATTCAAATGAGAATACGAAATGAAATGAATGACTCTTGGAATCGTCGGAACTTTATTTTGTAAACGCAGAGTTCGAGAATTAGAAATAAGTGTGATCACAATGACAGCTTTTTCTGTATTGACGTATGTTTGTCACGATTACCGTACTTGTTATTAAACTGGCGCGAACATGGCATAATAATAATAAGAACTCGCATGCAGCAAGGATTTAAACCCACCAATCAAATCGATTCCTGCACCATTGGCACGTCTTGAAAGCCAATTGGGCAGTTATGCGTAATACTACGACTTTTTCCTTCTATCCACTCTCAACATAGTTTCGTTAATCATGACTCGACATTTTATATTCCTACTTTTGGTAACAATACTCTATGCATTGACAGCAGAGGGAATAAAATTCGATTTGGTCGCTCAACCGGCTTCAAGTGTGACTCCAAAGTGTATTACGCAATATATAAGCGCCAATACATTTGTCATAGCCGAAATAAAAGTTGGTATTGGATATAACCAGAAAATAAATGTTGAGGTACGAGGAATCTGATATGTTGGGTTGCGTCAAGTTGGGTCTGAACATAGATGTGAACGACCCTGTCGCTGTCGTTGTCAATTTAGTGTCAATTGTAAAGCATTACCAAAGCGTTAATGGGCAATTTCATCGTTTGTTGTTTTCCCATTATCAGATTAGCGATAACAGCGATTCACATAACGAATACGGGAAAAAACGCGATCTTCATGACAATGTTCGCATGGCATTCACTACTCACGCTGAGGCAGATGTAGCTATCTGCTTCGAGAACATCTTATCTGAAGGTAAACCCTAATCGTAAAATGCTTTATCTTTGTTGGTGCTCGTATAACTGAACTTGGATCCATACCATACCTCCTCCTCATTCTCATTCAGTCATTCTCTAACTCTCCGATTAAACAACGATGATTGACTTTTTTACAGGATTCAGCCCAGACCCCAAATTCTTTCGCTCAATCGATCTCGATGTAGACGTTGGTGCCGAAACAATCGATCAAGAACAGCTAGCCAAAGAAGAGAAATTAGCTCCGCTCGAAGCTGAACTAAAGAAACTCGAACAAGTAGTTGCAGAGATTGTTGACGAGATGGACTATCTGAGAAAACGAGAAGCGAGAATGAGAGATACAAACGGTAAGTGAAAACGATTGTTAGCGAATGATGTTGCCGGTTCAAAAGTGATTTACTTGAATGCCTTGTTCATTATTTGATGATTCAGAATCGACAAATGAAAGAGTCAAATGGTTCAGTCTAGGAACGGTGCTCGTTCTGTTGTCGTTGGGTGGATGGCAGATTATGTATCTGAAGAAATTCTTCAAACAGAAGAGACTCATTGACTAAAGGATTGGACAGGATTAATTAAACGTAATTGTCACTGCATAACCAATAGAAAGAAAATCAGCGAATCTTGTGTATCGTTTATTTTACTAAATGAAATAAAAGTTTGATATAAAATTTTAATTGATTTATATCTGGAATTCGATAGAATATTGACAGAGAAATTACGCGCGAGCGCGCGCAAGTCTATCGATGATTAGGACATATTTAACATTCATAGTGATTCTAGAGAATATTAACTCTAAAAACGCCTCTCTGAACTTCGACCCCTATCACCACCTCGGTCCATTCTATCACCTCGGTCCATTCTATCACCTCGGCCCATCCTGCTTCCACCTCGATCCATCTTTCCACCTCGACCCATCCTGCTTCCACCTCGATCCATCCAATCGCCACCTCGATCCATTCTGTCTCGACCTCTACTCATCCTATAACCACCTCGATCCATCCTATCGCTATCTCGATCCATTCTATCGCTATCTTGATCAATTCTTTCACTATCTCGATCAAGTCTATCACTATCTCGATCAATTCTATCACTATCTCGATCCGTTCTATCATTACCCCCGTCCCCAGCTTCTGCTACAGCAACATCACCTTTCGGTTGCCTACACTTGTAACATTCCTGTCGATCAGCAAAGTTATAAAATTTACACTCGGGACATGCCCAATCTCCCGGTTTTGCTTTGCGTTCCACATCAGATGACTGTTCACCGCACTGAAAGCATTCAGTCCTAAAGGCAAAGTTGTTGGTTTTGCATTTTGGGCAGATCCAGTCTCCAGGACGTTGTCTGTCAAAATTTGTCGATTTAAAGCGCTGTGACTACAGTTAGTTAAAGGACGTATCGAAACAGGGATGAAAAAATTTTTTAGTTAATGTTGAATACACGGAATAGCAATTGTTCGATGAGATCGAATCCTATCATTACACGTAAATTCTCGTTAATTTGTCACGTACTATAGGGGTAAGAGGCCACAGCTGTTTGTTTCTGAGAGTCGGAAGTAGTGATATTTGACTCACTACTTTCGGCTTACACGTTCGCTGGCTTTGTGCCAATACGAGTCTGACGGCTGACTTCAACATATTTTGTAAAGCAGAGAGTAAAAGAGACGGTAGGCAAAAATAATTTCCAACTCGGTTGTCATTGGTTGAAATTGATAAACGTCACAAAATTTTGAGATCTGTTAAATATAAACCCCATTGTACTTTATGCTCGCACGCTAAAGTTGAGAAAGACGAGCTCAAACTATCTACATGAAAAAGCAAATGCAACATTATGACGCGGACAAAAGCTAACCTAGCTTTAAGTTTATTAAATGATCTTAAATTCTTGTAAATCAGGAGTTGGAACTTCACGAAGAAGTTATTAAGACTAAAACAAACAAATAAATTTTAATGTTGGTATATAAAACATCGATTCCCCTATCACTCCACGCTTTACGGAAGGTAAAAAACGTTACAAACGTCTTTATAAAAACAGCCGCCTTCCTTTCAGATGTGAATTCAAGGATATTATCTGTATAAAGTCAATAAGTAATGAATAATGTAATAAAATATCCGATTTCTTGATCATTATCAATTCGATATCAGTTTGCTTACAAATTATTCTACTACCACCACCACTAACAATGTGTTTCCCACCGCCCACAATAATATTTAATACATTTGTATAGTAAATTTTACATGATGCTGCAAGTACATTTGCCACCAGATGGTGCATATGGATCGTCTCGCTTGTCAACTGGTCCCCAGACCGACGGTACGAGGTAATCCCTTGTGCTTTTACAGTATCTGATTAGGCTAATAGAAAAATGGATAAAATAGATTTTAGCTCAGGTCAGTCGTTGGAAGAAGTGAGAGAGAGAGAGAGATTGTAGAAAACGTGTTTGACGAATGCGACTCGTATGGCTTTTGTTAATAATCACATAGCATATCATCTGCCATTGATCAATGATCAGAGTTATGAGTGCTCTTACATAACTTTCTTTAATTAATGATAAACTATTTCACAGTATGCAGACACTTGCATGCACAATATTCGTTAATATGTCCAACGGGAATGCATAATGTATATCGACTAGTCTCTCTTCTTCAGTCAACCCATTCGCGCTCTACAAAACACTTACTTCTGACTAGCCTCGCTTACTCTCACACGGGGTCTATCCAAATCTTCCCGCAGTCTCTGGTTGAACTCCAATAATCGTCGGAGTTTTAGTTCTGACATAGATTGTCCTTTCTGTCTGGCCATCATTTTGTTATAGTGTTGGTGAAGATGGAAGGGCGAAAAAAAGTATGCGAATACTTGAAACGCTGGGTTTTGATTTCTATTGCCCGAACGGATATAAGATAAGGTTGTAATGTATAACTATTTTTGTTTGGTTTTTTATAGTCTAATTAACAGCTTTTTTATATTTTATGGACAAACGTCTACGCTCACTAGCCAACCATGCAATTTGAGTTTCCTCTTATTTTTATTATTATTTTTGTCTTACTCTTCTGTTCTTATGTACGGAAGAGAATATAGTGCATAAAGGAAGGGAAGGAGAAAGGATAGGGTTAAGAACAAGAAGTTTTTTAAAATTGTAGGTCCAAAAAAATGGTTGAATATGATGAAGCGAATCATATGGTTGACTGTAAATTAGTTACTAATTGTCCACCAACTCCGCTGGCTGCTGGTTGGTTATTTCAAGCGACTTCTTTGTGGTTTTGTATAACACGAGAATTCCTCGTTTCGTCGACTCCGAGTCGATGGAATGATTGTACTTGCTGAGATTGTTCCCCCAATGTTTAGTCCTATTATTAATTATTAATTTATTATTATTATTACTGCAAATAATAATTATTGTTTCGAATAGTGATGTCACGTTTACTGCTCGGTTAATAAAATTTCCGCAAACCAAATAGAAGATTATAATTAACAGAAAAGAAAAAATTCATCAGAGATCGAAAAAAAAAAATGTCCGAGACCTCGGCGACCAAGTCCTATGATGATATGACACAAGAAGAGAGGGATAAACATGATAGGGAGCAGAGAGAGAAGGAGGAAGCAGAACAAGCGGGTATGTCTGTGTTAGTCATTATTGTTCTTTGTTTGCGCTATTTCGGTTGATGAATTGGCCAATGCGTTGTCTTATTGAACGAATTATGTACGTTTTCTTGCTATTGTGTATATACTTGCTTATTGGATTGCCTATACTTTTTGCAAGCCCTACCATACAAGTGGAAACAAACCTTACAAGACGTGGATGTGACTGTCCCCGTCCCAAATGGCACACGCGGCAAAGACGTTGATGTTATCATAAAGAAAAATCATTTAACCGTCGGGTTAAAGGGTAAAGAGCCAATCATAAAGGTATGCACTTTATCAAACAAAACCCTATAGGTTTTCGTTTAATATTTATTTTATTTATTCGCTCTAGGGTGAATTAAGCAAAGATGTTAGAACCGAAGAATGTACATGGACTATTGGTAAGCATCATCTGTGTTGCCCGCTTTCCATGTGATACACTTGTTCATTTTCAACCTTAAATGCCTACAGAGGATAGGAAAGAAATAGCAATCCATCTCGAGAAAGTGAATAAAATGGAATGGTGGAAGAATGTAATCACTACTGATCCGGCAATCGATACGACAAGGATCCAACCAGAGAATTCAAGTTTGTCCGATCTGGACGGTGAGACACGGGCAATGGTTGAGAAAATGATGGTATGTATATAATCGTGAGTTTAAACGAGTATACGTGATAAACATCAGTGTTGAGCGTAATCCATTTGAAAACTCCTCTCCTCTTTCTTGCTATGAATACGTTCAGTTTGATCAACGCCAAAAAGCGATGGGCAAACAGACATCCGATGAATTACAGAAGCAGGCCATCTTGGAAAAGTTCAAAGCGGCACATCCGGAGATGGATTTTTCCAATGCAAGGATATCATAATAACTGTAAGTAATTGACGTGTGCACGATGACCTATATAAATATTGGTATGAGCAGCTATAACAACGATTACGCCTAATACGCATCAAAAGTAATCACTAACAAAGTATCACATCCCTTCATCAAAACCCATTTAATTTATTGAAACCCAATATCGATGGGAATGCACTACCGATTTTCCTTTCGCCGTTTCTGAAAATATCGTACACTTTTATATTAACTCTAATATCCTCAATGGAGAATTCGGTATCTTCTCTTCCAAGATAGAAAAGAAGTGTGTACAAGGCAAATTCAAATTCAGGAGATGTACCGATAAAGGATGTGGAAAACGGCTTGGGAGCACCCTTGAAACTGAATCTCATTTTTATCACGTGTTCATGTCCAGAAGACTACGAAAAAAGCACATAACATCTATTAATAAATTGTGTGCTGTTTTTGTTTAACAAGATCAAAAATTTCTGCTGGCGACTTCAGCCAAGTTACCTCAGAGTGATGCTCCCCCCTTTCATGTATGGTACCCTCGTATTTCATAGTCCCATTCTGTTCACAAACATAGAAATTAATCCAATTGTGGAAAGCTAAATCGAGATGGTCAGTCATGTGTTAGGATCGAGAATTAAAAAAACGGAATAGGCCGAAATTGTTGGAATGCAATCAGCACGGTTTTTACCTTTTGCCTGGTGATGGTCAATCTCTCCCAAAAATACATGCTCGAAAGCGCTCGAATCACCTCCTGCCCCGGCTCTTCTGTACATTTCAAACCACACATCATCCAGCAATCGTGCAAACGCTTTACGATCTGCCGGAACTTTGCCTTTCTGAACAAGATACTAAGGAACGATAAGAATTTAGTCTCACATAATCGTGTAACAAAGTTTAGTTATTGTTTGGTATCACAAAAACTCATTGGTCAAATCCGTTTCGCTTTAATGTATCATTTTGGGTTAACACTTCGTGCTTAACGATGTCTCATTCGTTCTTTGATAAATAAAACTTTCAAACATCAATTACCTTATGGACATAAAGCATAGGAAGTGTATTCATGACCTCCTTAATGAAAAGAGCATTCTCACGCAACTCGTTAGCATCAACCTTTTCGCGAATCCCTACTTGTGGAATGTAATTATCAAGAAGATCCTTGAAAGCCTTGTACGTAGGAAGATTAAAGACGTTTTCGTCAACATAAGTGAACAGTCTCCGAGACTCGCGTGCTGATAGGTATAATAAGATTAGGTCCAAGAATGTAACAACTAAAGCGCAAGTCATAGTGAGAAAAACTTACAAGTGCCGACATTGATTTTGTACTTTCAAAAGAAATTCATCATGCTTAGTAAAACGATTCTTTTCTTTCGATCATGTCAATACTATCAAGATACTCACATGTTCTCCAGCTGTCAATCTGTTAGTATCTAGTTGCCATAAACGAGTGAGGGCAAGCTCAACGTTTTGTAGCTCGTCAAAAGTCGGTACAGCAATAGCAGGCATGATTGCTCTTGTCTCCCTTTCCTCCTCATTCTTAGCTCGTATATAATATTCGATTGGTTTCACACTTAGATCAACAGTTTCCTCTTAATGGCAAGAGATCTAAGCCACACTCAAGCACAACAATGGACAAGGATGCATATTTGTTACCATTAATAGATAGCTTCAATACCACGATCTGCTCACGCTCACCAACGTTTATACCAATTACTAAATAAAGAACACTTGTTATACTTGTTATTCACTTGTGTCACTGTTAAAATGAAATGCAGGATTATTCGACCGTGAAATAGTATGCAGGAGTTAGTATTGTACGAAACAGATTAACCAAACGTAATCTTCAGTTGTGCGTGGCTGATGTCGTATAAGACCTGAACCCTAATATAGTAAAGCGAATCAGATTAAATGTTTAAGAGTCAATGAATCATTCACTGTTCAAGGGACTTGTTTATTACGCCACAACTATAAAAATTGCTAATTTGGAGCCAAAAGCTTCCCATTGAAGCAAATTCCGGTTATCGACATGTATGGATACATGTATGTAAGACGAAGGCTTCAATTCAGGGGATATCGGAAAATATGAGAACAATATAATAATAACGGAAAAGACGACGTGTGATATGTTACAATATTAATACAATACTAATTAACATCTTTCAAATCCATTGTAACTCAACCGTTCAAAACATAAACTTGTCGAAAAAAAAAGCAATACAATATTTAAGATATTGTTATCCGATAGATTGTTATTAATTATAAAAGCCTTTTTATGATCATGGCCGGAATACGAGCTACATATACCCAACCAGTACATTTAATGCTTATCGGACGCGTTGGACAGTGTGTTCAGTTTAACTGGGTAATATTCTCTTTAAACGCGCAATTGTTTATACATCTGATCCTAAAATTGGCTATAATATAGTTCGGACCCGTGATACTGTAGCTGCGCTAGTCATTAACGGATGCTGCCAGATAGATGGCTTTCTGAGACGCCTAAACACAGTTTGATCACTTCCTTCAGCACCTAGAGTTGAACTACAAGTGGCAATTAATTCGACGCGTTTTTCAAAGAATTTTCTTATGGCTCATTGGAAACAAAAGAAATTCCGGCCGGCTGTCCTATTGATAGAATTGCCTCAATTCCGTAGACAATCCAATCAACATTATAAGACAAACTTTATTCTACCTTGTATTATTCTCTAAACATCTTTACAAAAAATCAGTACTCGACTATTGCAACATGATGTATAAATAGATTGTTGTTTAACTGTGACAACATTCTAAAGGGCAAAAAGGCCCTTGGTTCTTTTTGGAATAATCATATTATTTTTTTACGTGCATTCGTTCCAATTAACGCAGCGACATTATGGTCATTGAATTGGTTTGCCACTCTTTGGTATAAATATTAGATTGTTAAATTCCGTGAGGCAGGAACAGACACTCTGTTGCTTCTTTATACCGTTATTTCTCTGATTAGACATTTAAATGATAATATACGTAAATTGCCTAAAACTTTCGCCCGTGTCAAAAAATGGTTTGATTGCCTGATCACAACAAGTAATTACAATGTTCCCAATATTCGAAGTTTCAGTAAAATTCAACCAGTAATTAACCGCAACTGAGCTTGATTGTCTTTATTGACAGTCTTTCTAAATATCAACATCCAATCCAATAAGATCTTCCATTTTGGTTATGTATGACAGATACATTAATTGGAACATTTTCATGTATCGTTGAAATACTGCAATCAACAGCCCATTCGTACCAAACTTTCGACTGACTCGTGAGGCGCCAGAAGTGTGCTTCAACACACGTTTCCCGCGGTAAATAGATTGGTTCCTTTGTCAAAAAAACAGAAATTGTCAAATTAAAGTCATACGCATTAGATCTTCTAATTGATCATAACTCACCTTCAATGGAAAAAATATCGGAAACCAACTGAACATTCCCGTAGAATGCCTCTCAGGATGTATACTCATTTCAACATCTTTGTACAATACGCAGTCAAAATAGCCGGCGAACCCATGTAATATGCCATTTTCCGCCAAATCAAAGGTAACTTTTGAATATCGCACATTATGATAATTTGTTATCGGATTACCTATAGAACACCAGGAACCTATTATCATCACAGGAAGAACAACGCGTATTCTCTTGCCGTTTGATTAACTGACCTTGCTCGTCGACAGTCATTAATCGGTTAGGATGTTCAAAGGTCCAAACTGACTTTGGTGAAGCAAGTTGAGCACATGCTTGAAACATGACGACATATGGCATTTCCAAATCTCTGTGCACAGCGGCTTCTGAAAACAGCTTTGCCGAAGATAAAGGTGCTATATATGCTGTGTACGAGCTAGGTATTGAAATCCCGTTGGCTGCAATTAACAATTGTAGAGAAATAAATTAGTTATTCGACATCGAATGTTTCATGCGTAGAACCAATTTTAAAATCATATATAAAAGCTTACGCTTTAAAAATTTCTGTGCGCCATCTAAGCATTCTGGAGATAATTCATTGTCACCAAATGAGCCCAAAAGTTCGCTTACAAGAATATCGGCCTCAAAAGAATAAACATAATAAATAAGCATCTCGCGTATTCGCCAGTTTCTTAAAAGTACGAATTAATACGAGAGAGACTTGTTACTTTTTCAGGAGCATTCCAGCGTCGTATGTCTGAGAAGGCTATTGTCACATTATCATCCCATACTTGTGCCTTCATATTCTGCAAACTTATTGTATTGACACCAAATTTTTATCAATAAACAAACCGTCATCTGACTCTCATACGTATTAATTATCAATTACGCACGTTACAAACGCATTAGGGTTCTTCTCAACTGCATATACGCGAACCTTTCTGTTTGCTTTTTCGGCAGCTTTAAGACTTCGAGTCACTAGTGGACCTCGACCAGCACCAGCTACTACAATCACTCTGAATAAAGGTGTTAATTACTCTTCTTGTACGCAAGTACGAATGGCGCATGGGTGAAATAAACATACGTAATTTCGTCAGAGTCTGGAGGCACACGATCAAGTAATGCGCGATATACAGCCTATATTCGTAAGCAGCTTAAAATGTTAACACATTGCTTACTATTATTGACTAAAATACATTATTATATACCTGTTCATATAATATGTATTTTACACGGTCTTTTTCAAATGTCTCATAAATCGAATATTCAAGATTGTCCATGAGCGGCTAGGAAAGCATAATAATGTTAACTTTGGAAAATTAATTAATGGAAACACGTGAAGTTTTCGGATAGCACTAACTTGTAACGGAGATTGAAGAAAATCCTGATATCCACTAGCAAATTTTTCCCTTTCATTTAATTCTGGACCAGTTCTATTCATATATCGCAGATATTGCATATATATACCCACGGAGCTGTCGTTCTCTTCGCGTTCAGTTTTGCTGTCGCGTATCACGAAATTTATTCCCAACTGAAAAATTACAATTTGATGAGTGTGTTCACAATTTATGGGTAACGTGCTCAACTGCCCAATTTTCAAAACCTTTCCTACCTTCAAAAAAGAACGAACAAGACTCTGATGTTTCTTACTCAACACTGGATATCCTTTGTTATTAATTAAGAATATATCGGTGGGAATTATAATCGCTCTGATCGGTTCTGCAATCCATCTCTCAAGAACCTTCTCACTTGGCAAGTCAGCGGTGATGTACAAGGCTGATGTGAATTTCCGTTAATATTTATGTTCCATACAATATCAGTTTAGCACTGGTATCTCTCACCTATTCCAAGTCTTGTATCATGACTGCAAAGAGTTCTAAACTTGGTCCATCGTTCCCAACTACCTGTCTCCTTCTTACGCGGTTCATCACTATCGAGAGTTAATGGCAACTGTATCCATACCTACAAAGTTAGCTAAATGTTATATGACGTGAATACCTTATTATACACAATATAAACTTACGCTCACCCGCAAGTTATGATAAACAAACAAATAAACCAAGACTAACACTTGAATGTCCTGTTCCGTTAATTATCGAACACACAGTTCGCGCATAATTGCAAAATTCGGACTTGGGAGGATGAATCATAACAGTTCCAATGCCTAGATAGATGGCCCAGGCGAATTCTTGTCTCAATGCCTTCAAGTTTTTGTATGCGCGACATGCAAATAATAAGTTAAACAGTTTACATTCTGATATCCGAATTATGACAACCCACAACATTGTACCTACAATTTCTGAATTGGTTCGAATTCGCGAATCAGTCGAGTCCAGATCTATCCACGGAGATGTAAGCCCCACGGCTACTTCCAAGGACTCTATTGGGAGATAATGATGGTTTAAAAAGATGTTTGTCCTATAAATGACGCTTAATGTTGCGTATGAACATTCGTTTAAGTACCAGCGCTTTGCAAACATAATTCTTCTCTTGAAAATGGAATCCCAGCCCTCCACTCTTCCATGTTTCTCAAAAATACTTGCTTCGTCTCTTCGTCTTCTGGTGTAGATTCAAAAAGGACTCGACTGAAGGACGAACGCGAGATAGGAAGAATTATAAACTCATAACCAATGTTTCGAATGTTAGGTATTATATGATTGACTTTGGGATCCTCATGCGCGCCCCAGTAGCCAACCGCCACGTTCTGTTGAAAAGACGCATCATTCGAGTCTGACATTTTGGCGGAAAAAAAAATCGAGCGATTTGACATTTTATTATTATAAGAAATTTTTACAAAATAGCTAAGCCACCAGATTTGTTGCAGATCATTTTATTCTTATTATTATTATTATTATTATTATTATTATTATTATTATTATTATTATTATCGTTATGCTTAAGTTTCGAATTTAAATGGTTTAGATTACAATAAGAATAATTGAACGGATAAACCAAGACTACATCATGAGTCAGAAAACTGTAGCAGAGAAAAAACCCGCAGTGGTAAGGATGCAATTGGCGATCAACGAGGTTTCACTATTATACATTCGCTTTACACATATGCTAACAACGTAGGAGAAGGAAAAGTCAAAGTATCGTTACTCTTCAGAAATACAACAAATGATGTTTGTCTTTGGTGAAGTTGCCGAGCCTTTGCAGGAGACTATCATGCTTGTGGAAGACATTGTTCGAGCACAAGTAATAGAAATCGTAAGTTGTTCTCGTATATTCATTCTTGTTTTCTATCCGATTCCATAAAATCCAACTAACTACATGCCGTATGTTTGAATAGATCATTCAAGCAGCAGCCCAAGCCCAGAAACGTGGTTCGCGATACATGACTTCAGAGGATCTTATCTTTCTAATTCGTCACGATCGCGCTAAAGTAAATCGATTGAGAACTTATTTAAGTTGGAAGGACGTACGCAAGAATGCAAAGGACACAGGAGGAAATGATGGTGCAGAAGAGATTTTAGAAGAACCAACCGCAGGTTTGCAGGACTTTTTCTGCAAGAAAATTTTATGCTCAGTTTGGAAAACGAACTGATCGAAATAGCCAATTAATAATGATGTCAATCGTTTTTCAGCCAAGGCCAGAAAAATGAAAATAAAGCTTTCGTGGGAACTCGTTAATTCCTTCTCGGAATACTTGAATGCCGATTCCGACGAGGAAGGTGATGAGGAAGTTGAAGCATACAACGACTCTATACAGAGACTAAAGGTATATCAACTCTGTAACATGCATGTTCTTGACAACTTGTTAACAGTTCAATCCCATCTTGCAAATAGGACGCAGATGACATTACACGGGCAATGACACGCGAAGAATATGTTCATTATTCAGAGTGTCGTCAGGCCTCCTTCACGTATCGCAAAGCCAAACGCTTTCGTGAATGGGCCAACATGTCTACTTACATAGATATGAAACCCAATGATGACATTGTCGATATTCTCGGATTCCTTACTTTTGAAATGGTGAGCAAATTGACGGAAACGGCTCTACGAGTGAAAACGGATCTAGACTCGAAAGACAACAAGCCAAAAACTAAAAGTCTGGGTCGCGCAAGAATGAATAAGATAGACGGTGAAAAGTCAGAATGTTACTTGTTCTCTGCACCCCCATTGGACCAAACACCTCTGGAACCGTTTCATATACATGAAGCCTTTAGGAGGTTGCAACGATCCCCACAACCAATCAAAAACTTTCGCGGAGGTCTCGCGAGAACACGAATATCTTTGATTTGATTTGTATTAATTTAATTGTAATGATATATTGTAAGTAGTTTCGCTATAGATAATTGTATGCGTAGTAAAAATGCGAGTTGAATGTTTTATTGTCTTGATAATATATCTCTGCCCTACTCAAGTTCCAGATGTAGACATTTCTTATAAATTGGAAACACGATGTTATTTATTATTTTGGGATCCTTCCAACAAAAACACGTAATGAACGTGCAGACTATACGTCATTAAACAAAACTACTGAGATTTTGCTGCTGCTGCCTCACGCTCACGCTTTCTTAGGGCACGTTTCCTTATATCAATATGGGATTCTTCAAAAAAGAAACAGAGTTAGACATTGCTGTAGAAGACAAGCCTGAACGTAGAAATCGGAAATAAGACACTACCTAAGTTACGAGCTTCCCACCAGCTCCACGAGAATGTATTGGCAATCAGCCAGTTAGCTAATCCGTGAGAAGGATAAGCGGCGGAGGTGTATGGATACTCTGACCCACAAGGGACTCCAATTTTAGATAAAACAGCTCGAACAAATGGCTTTGGATACGGTGTGAGGAAATTTGATCGTCGAATTTTTGACATGCCGGTAACCTAAAAACAGACCAAAGATCAGACTTGCAATAATTTACAAATGTGCGGCACGTAATGTTGCACTTACAACAAAGTAAGTATTGACATTCTGCACCGTTATGCCTTTGGGTTTGAGCTCAGCACCCAGGGCTTGTGACCATGTACTCAGGAAAGCTTTTGATCCGGAATAAACGGACAGGTATGGTGTAGGAACATAACCTGCAAAGGAGCCAATGTTCAAAATAAGACCGCGATGTCTTCAGAAAGGGGGAGAAAAATCAGATTTCTTCAGATTCGTGTGCGATATAAAAGAACGTACAGCCAGTTAATTACTAGTAAACAATCCTACTTGGCCGCCATAACATATACAACCATCTTGGTGATGCGAAGAGTGCCTGCAATGTTCACTTCGACAATGTTGTTAATAAGCTCTTCAGATTCCATAATAAAGGGGGTAGGAATTTCGTGATTAGTGGCGACATTGTTTATTAAAACTCCAATATCAAGCCGGCTGATGACTTCTTTCAGCTTTTCATAATCTTGTAAATCCCCTTTCGTAAAGTCCATAGCATATACTTGGGTTTGAACACCATACTTGCCCTCTGTGAAAGTATAGTTAATTGTCTATTTAGTATCGCATAAGTAACCAGTATATTCAAAGATTATAGATTCACATATACCGACCTATCTCGTTTGCCAAGATTTCCAGCTTGGAACGAGTACGGGAGATAAGAAGGATGTTAAACTTAGCCGCGGCAAGCTGGTACGCGAATTCTTTTCCAATACCGTCAGAGGCGCCGGTGATAACTGACGATGACAACATTGAGTTATGGTTGCTTATTATCCACTAATCGGAGAACGATGAGGTCATTCTTACCGGCCCATGCTCCTTTTCCAGCACCAAATTGTTGCAACTGTATCCGGCAGGCCAATAAGGCATGTTAGCTTTATCTTTATTGCTCAACGTACAGCAACCATTCATTGTAATGACTTACACTCTTTCCAGATCTAACATAAAGGTCGACTAAAAGGTTCAAAAAACTTAGCGTTTTGTTCGCAATGAACAACGCCCCGACAACGGAGAAGAGACCAACTAGTACTGTCGCAAGCTTGTTTTCTAATTCAAATAGCGAATGCAAGTATATTGCACCCAGTTATCTTCAACGCGCATTCTTCTCAAAAAGTCATGATGAAAATTTAGATTATTACCGTTAAGAATTGCAGCAACCTCGTTCGAGAGCATCGTGATAATATATGGCTAACGTGGAATAACTTTGTTCTAATAAATAAATTCATCTCATCGAGTTTATTGCATGTGAACAGAAGATGCAAGATTTTTTTGGGGATAATTTTAAATGCACGTGTCAAAATAGGGATCGTCATCCGACATGCAGAAATAGCTGGGGTTCCCATTCCGGAACGTTTATTTATTTGTCTGACATTCTTTCTGATATTATTTCTTCTAACTAAAACCAAAAAAATTTTGCATGGCAATCGCCAGCTCATAGAAATGTCGGTTCAGATCCGGTAAGCAATCTATAAGCCTCTACGTATTTCTCCGCAGTTTTTTGTACTATATCTTCGGGCAACTCAATGCTAGTCTTCTTGTCGTAATTTATGCTCAACAGGTAATTGCGAACAAACTGTTTATCAATGCTGAATGCAAATAACTGTTAGCTTTACAATATAAAGAGGAACGTGATTAAATAAACGAGTGTATTTAAATAGTTACCTCTCCTGAGCAATACCGACTCGATAATTTGCAGAAGACCAAAATCGGGAGGAATCTGGGATCGGGATTAGTTGGTATCAATCAGCCAACATTCTTATGATACGTTCCGAGAGAGAATAAACATGTACCTGGTGTCAAAACTTCATCAACGAGAATGACATTGCCTTCTTTGTCCTTTCCAAACTCAAATTTCGTATCTGCGATAATTATACCTTTCTTCAATGCGTAATCCGATGCCTGTAATATTCCATCAGAGATAAGGCAATCAACGTAATCATTTTTCGCCTTTAAATTCGCAATGTCAAGACACTATACCTTACTATATAACTCAACTGCTGTTTTTGATATTATTTCCGCGTAATTATCACCAACGATCTCCTTGGCTATACGAAATTTTGATTCATTATTTAACCGCAAACTGAACAAACCAATATCAAAATATATATCCAATTTTACCTTTGTCTGGATGGATATTTTCGTCTAACAAAATCAAACAAACGATAAGCTGACACTTTCGGAAAAACAAGATCAAATGCAAGTAAAACAGCTTATTTTACCATGTTGTCCAATTTCTGCTTTGGTGCTCGGGGTGTACAGTGGCGCGTCAAACTTCTGGCTCTCCTGAAGTCCATCGGGAAGCTGTATGCCACAGACTGTCTTTGTCTTCTTATATTCTGCCCATGCCGATCCTGGAAATGAATGACACGATTGACATCGAACATTTAATGCATATGCCAGACTGATCGATTTGAATAATGCGGGAAACGCACTAACCAGTGATGTATCCACGTACGATAGCTTCAATCGGAAATACTTGCAAGCTGCGAACGAGTAAAGATCTGTGCTCTAGTTGATCTTTGTATTTCTGTACTTTCTCAGGCATTTGTGAGAATTCAGAACAAATAAGGTGGTTCGGGATGACGTCTCCCAAATAATCAAACCAGAATTTACTGATTTGCGTCAAAATCTTGCCCTTTCCAGGGACACCCTACAAGATACAATACTAGCAGCTACGGACATCAACTGCTTCGAAAAAAAAACATTTTACATGAAAAGAATGTTCTTACATTTTTCATTATGACATCAAAAGCACTAAGCCTGTCAGTAGTAACTAGCAAAAGTGAAGACTCGTCAACGCGATAAATATCTCGAACTTTACCGCGCGTAACGAGCTCCAAGTCTGGACAGTTTGTGTAAAGAAGAGTCATGGTTTTAGAAAGAGTTATCAAGGCAAAAAATTTTCAACGAGACACGGTGATTATCAACAGATAACCGAATCATAATCAGTGATTTTAACCGCAAAAGTGGCTGGCGGTAGCACAAACACGTTCCCTTGAGATATGGTATCCAGCCCGTTTCGCAATAGAGGCACATCTAATCAACACTGCTTATGTGATAACAGCGAAATAAATGCGCTTATTTTGATCCGATTTTGAATCGGGCTGAATTTCACTACGGGCTAGAACATTTATATCTGATATTGATATTAATATACCAAATTACTCTTTAGAACAACAAAAACTAAGGATCTCGCCTTTTGTAAATTTCATCAAGGAGACTGTAATGTTGTCAACTTTTTCACAAAGAAATTTGGCTCATGTTTATTCAGGGCATTCTCCTGATAATAATAATAATAATAATAATAAGTGGCATAACTGTTTTATCTGGCTGTCTGATGAGGGTACCCTACGCCTGGAAATCCCAAACAGCTCAGAGTCAAAAGCACCAGATCTCGAAAGAACATTTGCAATCGATATGATTGTATATTAATATGAAGGGGTCTATGTATATGGCTTACTCAACATTGGGACACTAAAAGTAAGCAAAGAAAAAACCTATCACTTTGGAACAAATCTTCAAAAATTGATGCTGAAACTGACGGTAAGTATTGTTAAATATTTTAACTGTCTTGGTTTTGATATAAATCTTACCAATACTAATACTTTATCTTAGATAATTTATAATTTGTAGCCAAAACTCATTACTATTACCCCCGAATACTAATACTAATACATGACTTTTACCTACAATGATTAACAACATTGTCGAAGTGAACATTGCAGGCACTCTTCGCATCACCAAGATGGTTGTAT